TGATCCACCCGCCTCGGCCTCCCAAAGTGCTGGGATTATAGGCTTGAGCCACCGCGCCCAGCCCTATATATATATTTTTTAAGACAGAGTTTCATTCTTGTTGCCCAGGCTGGAGTGCAGTGGTGCGATCTCGGCTCGGGGCAACCTCCATCACCAGGTTCAAGAGATTCTCCTGCCTCAGCCTCCCAAATAGCTGGGATTACAGGAACACACCACACCTAGCTAATTTTGGATTTTTAGTAGAGACGGGGTTTCTCCATGTTGGTCAGGGTGGTCTCGAACTCCCAACCTCAGATGATCTGCCCACCTTGGCTTCCCAAAGTGCTGGGATTACAGGTGTGAGCCACTATGCCCAGCCTAAATCATTTCTTAAAATTAAATGCCACACAGATGATTCTGTGCCACACAGAAGTCCTAAACCAGATAGAATCAGACAGCCCAGAGGGGCCCAGGCCAGGCCTTACTCTGTGCTGTCCCTCACTCCCAAGTGAGCTGCTGGGATACTGTATGTGGGACAGACACTTGGTGTCAGGATGTATTCCAGCCCTTGAGCTGGATCAAAGGGTCTGTCTGGTTTAGGACTCCTTTGTGGGATTCTGTGCCAGGCACATCCCTGGCTCAAAACCGAGGCTATATTAGAATTACTCATGTGCATGGCTTTCGTTTCCTCTGCCAGACTCGAAATTTCTGACAGCAGGGTCTGTATTCTTTGTATTCCCACAGTGCCTTGTAAACAAGTGGGCACGGTGGCTCATGCCTATAATCCCAGCACTTCGGAAGGCCAAGCCAGGTGGATCACTTGAGGTCAGGCGTTCAAGACCAGCCTGGCCAATATGGTGAAACCCCATCTCTACTAAAAAATACAAAAATTAGTCGGGTGCGGTGGCGTGTGCCTGTAGTCCCAGCTACTCGGGAGGCTGAAGTGGGAGGATTGCTTGAGCCCAGGAGTTCTGGGCTGTAATGTGCTATGCCAATCGGGTGTCCGCACTAAGTTCGGCATCAATATGGTGACCTCCTGGGATCGAGGGACCACCAGGTTGCCTAAGGAGGGGTGAACTGGCCGAGGTCAGACAAAGCAGGTCAAAACTCCCGTGCTGATCAGCAGTGAGATCGCACGTGTGACTAGCCAGTGCACTCCAGCGTGGGCAACACAGCAAGACCCCATCTCTTTTTTTTTTTTTTTTTGAGATGGAGTTTTGCTCTTGTTACCCAGCCTGGAGTGCAATGGTGCGATCTCGGCTCACCGCAACCTCCCCGCCTCCTGGGTTCAGGCAATTCTCCTGCCCCAGCCTCCTGAGTCACTGGGATTACAGGCATGCGCTACCATGCCCAGCTAATTTTTTGTATTTTTAGTAGAGATGGGGTTTCACCATGTTGACCAGGATGGTCTCGATCTCTTAACCTCGTAATCCACCCGTCTCAGCCTCCCAAAGTGCTGGGATTATAGGCTTGAGCCACCACGCCCGGCAGACCCCATCTCTTAAAATAAATAAATAAAAATAAAAATAATATATACACACACACACACACACACACACACACACACACACACAAATTAGCCTAGCATTGTGGCGCGCACCTGTAATCCCAGCTACTCGGGAGGCTGAGGCAGGAGAATCACTTGAACTCAGGAGGCAGAGGTTGCAGTGAGTCAAGATTGTACCACTGCACCCCAGCCTGGGCAACAGAGTGAGACTCTGTCTCAAAAAAAGAAAAAAAGTATGTAATAAAATCTATGGAGTGAACACTTCTGAAAAATTCTATGAGCAAAGGTAAGGATCAGGAAGAGCAAAAGGCAGACAAAGCGGCATGACTGGTGCGGTAGGAGCAGAGTCTGGGTGGGGTGGTGGCTGACACCAGGCTAGAAAGGCAGATGGCAACCATGGGGCAGCAGCATTTGTCTCCAGCCCTGCAAAATGTAGAGCTGCTGAAGATCATCAGGCAAGGGAATCTTAGATAACATCCTCCAGTGAGTAGCATGGAGGATGGAGAAAAATGGAACAGCGGAGAGAGGGACATCAGTTAAGGGCTCACTGCCGACCTTGATGTGGAAATCCACAGGAAGTGTCCTGGAGCCCACCAGCCGTTTCATGAGGTAGCCCTTCCAGTCGGTGAACTTGGCATGGATGGCTGTGGAGGCACCAGCAGAATCCTGGTTACACAGACTGACAACACCCTCACCTATAGGGGTGCTAGCGCCCACCCAGAGTGAGGACCCCTCAGCAGTGGGGACATCGCTGCCTCTTCAGGCCAGCAATTACTTCATCTGAGAACCTCAGACTCCACAGCTGGATCTGCTCCTGGGCCTCTGGGACAGGAAGGGCAGGAAGCCAGGGGCAAGTGGGTTGTGTTCTGTCTAATAATGCAGAGGACTCTCATTCTACCTAACACAAGCAGAGGACTCTCCCTCTACCAGGGGCCCTGCAGGAGTAAGAAAGGAAATGTTCTCATCAGCTCACTCCGTGGGGGCACGAGGATCTTGCTGTTGATGGCACACCAGCCAATGGGGTGGACATCTACAGTCCCCAGGTTGCACCAGAAGTCATGGCTGGCATCGCTTTCAAAGCCTTCATACCGAAGCAGCACCCGATACCCTAAAGGAAAGGAAAGGGCACCTGTGAGGGAGGGTGACCTGGGAAGGTATGTTCTTAGGCCTTCCCTTTTCTCTAGCCTAAGCTGGATTTCTGGTACCTATTCTTCCAGGTGAGTGGATTCCTGTTGGCCACAACAGGCCTAGCCAAACAAATCCATGACCCTAGTTAGGGAAGCGTTATGGCACAGTGCTGAGAGTTAATTTTCTATACACTGATCATCCCTGGAATGAATTTTACTTTTTAAAAATATTTTCATTTTCTGTAGAGACAGAGTCTCACTCTGTTGCCCAGGCTGGTCTCAAACTCCTGAGCTCAAGCAATCCTCCTGCCTTGGCCTCCCGAAGTGCTGGGATCATAGGTATGAGCCACTACATCTGGTCCTGGAACAAACTTTAAAAATTGAGGTTTCTGGCCAGGCGCAGTGGCTCACGCCTGTACTCCCAACACTGTGGGAGGCTGAGGCAGGCAGATCACCTGAGGTCAGGAGTTCAAGACCAGTCTGGCCAATGTGATGAAACCCCATCTCTACTAAAAACACAAAAATTAGCCAGGCATTATGGCGTGCGCCTCTGGTCCCAGCTGCCTGGGAGGCTGAGGCAGGATAACTGCCAGAAC